AAAAAAGGAAATGCCTCCATTTGAAATAAAATCGATTGTTCTAGATAGCATTGGAAATTCATGGAATGGGTTTTTACATATATATACAGATGGTTCTAAACTCGAGGATGGGAAGACAGGAGCCGCATTTTATGTGTCTCATTATAATGTGGTGAAATTTTTTAGATTATCCCATGTCTGTATTATGAGAGCAGAACTAGTGGCCATACTAATGGCACTAGAGTGGATTAATACATTTATTGAATCCTCTTCGGTGGTAATTTTTAGCGACGCTTTGTCAGCTTTACAAATGATCGATTCATACTTTATTAGATGTGCTATTGTAAATGAAATTTTATCCATAATTAATATTTTGCAGTTTAAGGATGTTTGTGTTGCTTTTGAATGGATTCCGTCACATTGCGATATTAGGGGCAATGAGATCGTAGATCGGGCTGCCAAAAAAGGAGCCATGAAAAGGTGTATAGACATAGTTATACCAAATACAAGAAGTGAATTGGCAGCCTCTCGTTTGATCCATTATAACAAATTATGGCAAGCAGAATGGGACAATGCAGAACACGGTAGATTTTTATATGCTTTGCATAGCGACGTGTCAAAGCCCATACATAGACAAGGCCTATCTCGCAGAGAAGAATGCTTGATACAACAACTAAGAGTAGGTAACTGTAGTTTAAATTATTACCTTTTTCAAATTAACCAACACAATACTGGTCTTTGTGAAGTTTGTCAAGAAGATGAAACAATTAAACATTTTATTTTCGATTGTACAAAATACGACAAAGATAGACGCCTCTTAAAAGAAAGGATTAAATTGAACAACCCCAATCTGAAACAATTATTGATGTCTAACCCAATTTTTACTCGTGAATTATTGGGTTACATATACGATACTAATCGTTTTAGATAGCTTTTAAAGCTATCAGGGATCCCCTTAACTTATGTCGATCCTGTAATAATATATAAAATGAAGTATTTGCGGTTTTTTCCATGAACAATTGCAACTAACTCCCATCTCGCCTTTTATGTGCATTTTATGCAATTTTGATATTGCAGCTTTTTTTTTTTTTTTTTTTTTTTTTTTTTTTTTTTTTTTTTTTTTTTTTTTTTTTTTTTTTTTTTTTATAAAACCATATCACTATTAATTTCATTTCACCAAGGAAAGTCGCTCGTGGGCTTGATTTCCGAAGCCCACGCCAAAGCTATACACGAAATTGACTGGCGCAAATAATCTTTGAGATTGAAGAGCGCCATCTAAACGAAGAACCAACCAACAACCTCTAACTTCCTTATTCCTTGCCCGATTCTGTTCAAATTTTCACTGATATTTTTCAAATATCTTAAACTTTACAATAAAAGTAACTTAGTATGAAGGTTTTGGTTCCCTTTAAGCAGTATCTAGAGCCATGTAAAGCCGAGAGAAATTATAAATTATCCCCGATAATGTAATCATAATGTTGCGTATTTATAGCAATGTCAACAAATTGTGTATTTTCGCTTTGAGGTTTCCCTTTGTAGGTGCCCCCTTTTTTCCCACTAGGAAGTTATGTATACAAATATGATTATCCCCGTTTCACACGTCTTATAAACCCACGCACACGCACACACGAACACACATACTTATAGTAGGGGCACAATTTTGCATTGTAATTATATTATGCCATATTGATTGGGTTTTCGGTTTGGGGCGGGGGAGAGGATCCTATTATGATGATAATGGTTCACTAACGGTTCCATAAAGCAAAACCTGCTGATGCTTTTAAGGTACCCATCGAAATATACATTTCTTCTAAGGTAGTCTTCCAAAGTTTCTTCCATCTGTAATCATCATTATTTTTTCGTATAAGGTGCGCGGCGAGTGGCTTATATTCAATACGACTACAGCCAGAATCGTTTTTTGTGTGTTTTTTTGTTGTTGTTGTAAGAGTAGATTGCTTCCAATGCCTTGCGCATAGCTTAAACAAGAAAAAATTTGTGTTGAAATTATATGATGATATCTTTTCAAAACTGTCACAATCCAAAAGTGGGGGAGGGGGGGGGGGGGGTTCAATCAGTAATCATGCCTATCTGATTATATGTCATTTCGCTGCATGACCATCTATTAATAAGTACTTATTATTTCAACAAGCTAGCAATGGAAGAGAACCAGAGATTATAATGAGAACAATTTACACTTGAAAAGAAAGAAAAGAAGAAAAACAACAACAACAGCAACATTTGGTAAGGTCAACGGAAATCGCTTGAAAACCATCTGATCATGCTTTGTAGGAGAAAAAGAAGATGTAAATACGGGCGGGAACAGATCATTTTGAATGTGGGAGAGGCAGGGATCTTGGTCCAAAGTGTCTACAAGTGTGCCGCAAATTTCTAATATTTCTTATATTTTGAAGTTTGGACGAAATTAGAATAAAGTGTAGAGAATATTTTGATGGGAGCCATGACACACTCAAATCCCCGCCCCGCCCATCCGACTCTGCGGGATGGCAAATAAAAACACGTGCAGATAACAACGGATGATCGTGACAACGAATTGCCCAATGTCACAGTTAATTAAATACAAAATGCACAAACAACAACACGAATGTTTTTTTTATAAATCGATTCGGCTTCCGCAAATGCCACCCAACACAGCTTTCTCTTTTGGAACTTACTCACATAATAATCGACGCATTCGAAAGTATTTCATTCGCTATCAGTGTAATTTTATTGACACCGTAATTCGCCGAAATACGGAATTGCTTATAATTTGTTTACTTCTGGCTACCTTATCTCCTGTTCAGACTTTTTGTCTGTGATTCATTAACCAAATCTCTCAAATTTTAAAATAATTTAAGTGTCTAAATTCGCAATTACCTTCGCAGTTCTGTTCATAACTTGAGTTTATTTAATTTTTCTATATGGTGTGGTATTGATTTTGGCGTTGGCCTGCATTAATAACTATGTGCAATCAATTGAAGAAAAACATTTACGAGGCCCAGGGGGGTGTTTCACAAAGATCCTAAGTAGAACTTAACACTAAGTTGGACTTAAAAATTATGGACAGCCATCGGAGTCTTGAAATTAAATGTATTCAAAAGCAGATATTTAAGTATTTTAGACTTTTTATAAATTCAACATCCAGAACATGAAATCTCCTTGAGGATAGAAAATATGAATGATTTGAATCAACATTTTATGCCTTTCAAAATAACTTTTACAAAATATTTTCAAAGATGCTAATGGCTTTCCATAATTTTTAAGTCCAACTTAGAGATAAGTTCAACTTAAGATCTTTGTGAAACACCCCCCAGGTCTTATTTCCTAAGCACATGAAATCTTTCAACATAATATCCATTTTACCGGTCTTAAGCTTTAGAACAATATATTATTGACCATTACCAGAATCCCTCTGACAAGCCTAAAAGAAATTCACATACTAGTAGATTAAATCTTCAATCCCATTACTTTTCGCTTTTTATATTTGTTTATATAAACTGTAATGCTTCCTGGGAGAAATTTTCAATTATTTAAACATATTTGTGGCTTACACCCTGTAAGATCGATCTATCGATCTTATTTACTGGGTGTAAGCCACACATAATTATGTTTAAATAATTAAATAATACATTTCGTATGTATTTAATTGGCTCAGTGAATTGCTTATGTATTCCATTGCTTTTTCAATTTGTATAACTTTATTACATGATTTTTTTTTATCTGATACTGTCATCTGGATCAACATGTAAACATAGAATAATCGAAACCGTAATTGCCCGATATATATGTATATGAAACTGAAGTAATAGATGTTCAGTGTTGAATTAGTTTGTGCAGAACGGTTTGATGTGTATCACGTGTACTTTAGCAAACAGTCATGTTAGTATGACATTTTATGTTTTTTTAAAGTTTGTTATAAATGGTATCTTTAAATTATGGTATTAATTCGATATGACCAGACAAATTAAAACATATAGGGTTCATATCCTGTTTCGTTCGGAATTTCCTAATTATAAATTTACAAAATAATGTTGTTCGTGTTGTATTGCTTGTAGGAATACCATTGCCACCCAAAATATGTTTAATCACACCAAAAAAATTAACGACCCCAATCAACACCTTTTATAGAGCTCACTTATACGCTAGCTACCATAATTGACAGTGCATTGTATCTTTCTGGCATATCACGTCGCCGTTTTAAGAATGTATGTACCAAGCGTCGCCAGAGTTTGATGCAAATGTTTTAATTTCTGCATCTAGAAAACCATTTGTTATCTCGATAATGAATAACTCTAAAAAAAAAAACGAATGCTGTTAAAATACAAAGAATGCTCAGGATATCGGTCCGGGCCAGAAAATCTATTCTTTTCTTCAGATTTATTAACACATCTTTTAACGGTTAAACAGAATATTATTTGGATAATCTTTAAAGAGTTGTAATATCTTTCTGACCAAGCTAAAGAATAAATCCAACTTTTCTTTTGAAAAGGGCTACAAGCTTCTAATTGAAGAAAGGGTTAAATTCACTGTGGGTGAGATGTTTTATGTAGCCCTTTAAATATTTGTACATGGTGTGCATAACAAAACCAACATTTGGGACTATAGTGTAATTAGGCATCCATTCGAAAATAGGGTCTAATCGACTCCTGGTGGGAAAGATTATTTAAACATGTTTTCGGATCGTGGTTGTATTGCTGTCTTCCCATATCGATTGGTTATCTTCAATGATTATAAGATTAAATTACATCATATTCATCTTACCAATCAGTGAGGTGGAGGGACGGCATTGGTGTGTGTGTGTGTGTGTGTGTGTGTGTGTGTGTGTGTGTAAGTACGTGTGTGAAGCACGCTTGTTATTCAGAGATGAAAGTATAATCAATTTAAATTTGATATAGCACTTTAAAAAAGCTATAATTATTATTATTATTATTATCATCGTAATTATTATTACTATCATTATTATTATCAATATCATCATTATCATTATAAATATTATCATTATAGTTATTTTTATTATTATTATTATTATCATTATTGCTGTTATAATACAAAAAAAAATTGATCATGCCTACTAAAGTCGACAAAGCATCATGATCAATATTGATCAGAGTCAAATGACATAGGACTTCAGTATCTGTGATTTTCAAAGGCTTATTCTAATTTGATAAATTTCAATTCTGATTGTAGACAATAAGGAGATTAAGGAGAAGGTGAAGCAGTAGGGCAGGTGTTTTCATCTTGATACTTCTCGAATTCTTCGGTCCAGCTAGGCATGTCTGTATCCCGCCAAAGCTCATAATTCTTCACCCAGTCTTCGTATACTTCCTCAACTGGAGCTGTGAGAACAAAAGGCAAACGAAATAACTTACATGGGGCTACAGAATCATCTTGTTCCAGAATATATCGGAATAAATTAATTAGTCTTAATAAGGAAACAACCCCACTGGATGGAAAATAGAATTATTTATCAAATAACCTGTAATGACTACACTCTATCAGAGGCGACATTTCTTCATCAAGAGATATGACTGAAAATTGGTACCTCTAACCGAGTATCGTATGTACATATCAGAATGCTAACACTTTTTTCTCCAAAAAGAAACAGGTAGATTGTTTGTGGAGCCAAATCCCATGGAAGATTATTTTATACCCAAATAAACAATCAAACAAAGGTACAAATACATGTCATCAGTAAATTATAACTTTGTGATAATCGTTTATACAGGAGTTTACACGGAAGCCTTTGAAAGGACTAATCACATTTTTCCGAGTGGAGTTCTTAAAGGGAGAGTATCATGGGAAATACTGGTTAACGCCATCTACGTTTTCTTTTGGACAACTACACGTAAACGAATGGGCTTGATTAACCGGGTCAGCGCGCTAGCGTTCGCGAAACAGACCGAAGTTCTCCTCGCGCTTCGGTTTCGCGTATGTTGCACGCACGTGAATGCTGCGGTTGCATCGTCCGTAGTCGTATTATACCCGATTGGCCCCGCTCAGTAGGCCCACGGGAAAGACACGTAGTCTCGTCATGACACACTCCCTTTAATTACCTGTCTGAAGGTGCAATCCCGTCATGTAGTTCAGCCAGAAAGAACACGATGCCGCCCTCATCGCCCGATCATTGGTCATATTTAGAGATAATTGTTTGTATTCCTGTTCGGGCATGGTATATCTTGGCCATTCTGGGTACTCATCTGTCATTATTGGTTCGTTCGGATTTCTACATTCAAAAGTATGAACAGTATACTTAGTTAAACACGGAGTGAGTGTCCAACAAAAATATAATGATTTTACCTCGATATATTATGTATTATATTCCACATACTAAGAATCTTGCTCTACTATTGGTCAAAAGTAAATCACGTGATGAAAGATAGTTCGCCCATTGTTGATGGGAGAAGCAAAAAGTTCGTTACACTGTGTAGATAGTACTACTATCTACACAGTGCAACGCACTTTCACTGAAAATAGAGGTACTATCTTCACAGGGAAACGCTCTTTCACTGAAGATTATCCAAAAGCGCACTAAAACAGGCGTAATTAAGCGCGCATTACCAATCAGCGCAATTCAAGAAAACACATGCGCGCACCGTACCCTCAAGTGGTTGGGTTAAACTTAAACTTTTTTTGTGTAAATTTGGGCCTAGGTGTCTTTTATGTAGATGCATACACGTCCTTTTCTTTTTGTATTTAAATTGTTTTAGATGTGGAATATAAAGCAAATAATAACCTTTTGGTTTCAGGCGATGTCAAACTGTCACTTCCTCGTCGATCTGAATGTATACGCTATCTTTCCTCAGCTTCGCTTCGGAAAGATAGCTACACCCAGATCGCCTCGGAAGTGATAGTTTGTCCCATCACCTTCACCAACGGTAATTATTTGCTTAATATTATTTGATTTTTTAAATTAGACCTATTTGAAATACTAGTATCGAGTCTAAAAATTAGGCCTATTTGAAATACTAGTATCGAGTCTAAAGTTGTTAAGAATACTAAAATTAAGAAAGTGTCGAATAGGACGAAGGTTTGTTGTGATTAATTTCGTCGACAGATCTAATCTAATGGAGATGTCAAATTAAATTGTTTATTATTTCATCCAAAATCTTTCTACCAGCGAAAAAAGAAAAAAAATCATTATCAAATGTGGTGGTCAGTTTGCGGATCTTCAAATTCATGTCAGTTGGAAGTATTCCAGCCGATCGGCTGGAAAACTTCCAACTGACATGAATTCTGAAAAGGGGTCGATTCCATTCCCTCCTTTTTTGTATACTTTGTTGTTGCTTGTCAGCACTTTTGAGGAATAGTTACCTCTCTTTTGCAAAATCTTGAGGTAGGCCTACTCTTTGACTGAGTTGGAAATGGTGTTTCGTTACAGTAACAGATCATGTACTCGTTTTATATCTTACCCAGATTTCACAAAGTTCGTCCAGTATCGCATGAATTCAATGGACATGAACTTCTCCTCATCAGACTGCCCGACCACCCGATTCAAGGGCGGGTTCAATCCCCACGCAAAAACATACTGCAGATCCTCTGCATGGGAAGCCCCGGTCCATTGCGGAACTCCCGCGTAAACAGACCAAGAAGGGTCATGCGTCATCTCGTACCGGTACACTTCCGCTCCGGCTGCCTCCAGTGCACGTGCGTAGTATTCTGTAGGACAAGCGAAAGTCTGATCGGTTGAAAGTCGTATCAGGCCATCCACCTGATTGGCCGAGGCGTTGTCTGCAATTCGCCAATTAATGTAATGCTGTTCAACTGCGGCTATCTCGACGGATGCTTCGGCACTGTATAGGAGTCTTGGGAGAATGGATCTGAAGAGGGAGATGTTAACGATGGGAGGTTCGAACAAGGAGCTGGGAAGATCAAAGAACGCGAAATTGATGGCGGCTTCGTCTTCGTTGCTCCCGAGCAGGCTTGGCAGCACCTTGAACTGTCGGCGTTTGACCATTTCGACAGGATCTTCAGGTAGGAAATGTCCATCAACAGCAGGAGCGGAGATAGCGCCATTACCTTCCTGACATTGAAAATATTAAAGACTAGTATAAATGTAAGCGTCTGAAGAAAGGACGGGTGATTTAATCAGGCCTTTAGAACAGACAAAAAAAGAAACAACAAAACAAAAGAAAGAAAGAAACATGATGGCTTCGTTCATTGGCTTCGTCCATTGCCCTATAGGCCTATTCTTTAAACGTTAATTTTATTTTAAATACATGAATGCAATTTACGTGTTACATAATATATGTCATAATAATTGTATGTTTGTAAATGTCATTGCCAAGTGTTGATGTTGATTAAAATCTAAAAGATGTAGCTTTAGGCTACATTGTAGTGAGGGTGAATATGGGTGAGAAAAGGAGAAGAACGCGATCGCATAGACTTTCTAAATATTAATTCAAGAGGAATTTACTTATTGTATATCCAATGGAGATCATGTGGGGACTTGTTATGTGCCAGTGTGGTCGCTTTAGGTTGATTTGTCGAAACTCTTTGCATGAGGCGGTTAAAGAGAGAGAGAGAGAAAAGTGAGAGAAGCACAAATAAATACTAAGTGAACGGAGGAGAGGAATTCGATGACTTACCAGCATTGCAAGCCTAGTAAGTGTGGCCTCATCAACATCACGCATGCAGGATAACATGGCGTTACTGTCATCGGTAGGACACTCGGCTGCTTCGGCCAACTGGCGATGTCCCTCCGTGGCTCGCTCCATTGTAGTCCAAGCCCAGGGACATACAGCATTACCGCTCTGCAGAATGTTAATAGAGAACAGAAGTTTGAAACCTAGACTAGGATTCATCCGCCGGCTAAAATTTCATTTTCATTTTACCTTACTAGTTTGGGGTCACGCTACGTCTCCATGAATCCGAACTCTATCTTCTACTATTAATACACTCAGCTGTACTACTTGTTCTGCTGCTGCCGCCGCTACTGCATGCTAGCTGCTGCTACTACGTAGTTATTACGACTTTCACTACTACTACTACTACTACAACTACTACTACTACTACAACTACTATTCTACTACTACTACTACTACTACTACTACTACTTCTACTAACACTACTGCGGCTTTCGAAAAAAATCAACATAAGGCAATTTCAGTAGCCAGGCGCGTACGCAGGGGCGGGGGGGGGGGGGTGTTTTGGGGGTCAAACCTCCTTACCCCCCCCCCCCCCCCCCCCCCCCCCCCCCCCCCCCCCCCCCCCCACTGAGCGAAATATCGGTCGGCGCAATTTTCACATTTGCAGGGCGAAAACAATAGTTCTCTCACTATCTTCCCCTCTCCCCACTGAGCGAGTTATCGGTCGGCGCGAAAGAAAGAAAAAAAAACTATTGCTTGATATCTTTAATTCATGCGCTGTACTGCTACTTCTAAATAATGTTACTACAACTTATAACTACTTCTGCTGCTGCTTGTATGAGGCCCTACTGCTGCTTGTACTCTACTAGGTCAACTATTATTAATGCTACTGCTTTAATTAGCTATATTCCTAGTTGCATGTTTTCTTTGGATCGTCTATACTTATAATGACCGTTGTATGTTATCATAATCTCGGTAGACTCCAACGTTTTTCTTTGAGAGAAGACCAATAAATATACCATTATCATGCTTCCCATGGTGAAGACTTTTCGCTATTACCTGCATGATAGTTTGCTGGAAGAGACCCTCAGACAGTGGAGACAACATGTGAAGGCTTACACTCCCTCCACCAGCACTCTCCCCTGCGATTGTCACTTGGTTCGGGTCACCGCCAAATTCTAAAATGAAGAATAAAACGCACTATGACAGAATTGCGCGAATGAACTAACTTTAGGCCAGGTGCACGAAAAGCCAGAGGTTGAGGTGGTGGGGGTGTTTCACAAAGATTCTAAGTTGGACTTAAATATTATGGAGAGCCATTTGTAGCCTTATAATGAAATATATTCAAAAGCAAAAATTCAAGTATTTTAGACTTTTCATCAATTCCACATCAAGAACGTGAAATCTCCCATGATAATAGAAAATATGAATGATTTGAATTAACATTTTTATGCCTTTTAAATAACTTCTACAAAATAATTTTAAAGATGCTAATGGCTTTCCATAATTGTTAAGTCAAACTTAGAGATAAGTTCAACTTAGGATCTTTGTGAAACACCCCCCCCCCCCCCCCCTGTAGTACAAAGCAAAGTGTAAGTCGTCGCGTAGAAATTAGGCCTGAACTATATCTCAAGCCGACATCATGTATGGTTTCACTTTCATCGTTCATGTCTTGCAAAAGTATTGAGGTAGAATTAGCTCCTAAAACCTGGCTCGAACAGTACGTATCAAATATATCTTCTTATTTATCAAGTAAGAGAAGCCACAGCTTATTTTTTTTCATAAAGATTTATTTATTAGAACACAATCACAACCACTTTGGAAAATTCACCCCGAGGCAATTTCAATAAGCTAGTGCGTCATTCTATTGGAATATGCGAAGGTTACAATAACGTATTACGTAATACGATTGTGTCGAGATCTATTGGATTTACAATAGGGTATTACAATTGCCCTTGATACTTCAAATATACGTTGGAGTCAAAAATAAGTTTACACCTAGAAAATTGCCAGTTATTTTAAAAATCATTTAAGAACAGTTATATTAGTATACATCTTATGAAAGAGTGTTTTATCCCAAATCATTTGGTATCATTTTTTATGTGGTATGTAGTCGTACTAAATCGGTGTGTTGGCTCAGTCACTAGAGCGTCCGCCTCACAATCGGGTGGTCGTGGGTTCGAACCCCGGCCGTGTCATACTAAAAGACGTTAACAGACGGGAGTTGCTGCTACCTTGTTTGGCATTCAATTCAACAAAAAGGGATAGAGCAACGTCGATCTGGCGCTGCTCAGTGGCTGCCGGGCTCACGATCAATTGGGCAAAAAGAATTTTCATTTTCGGTTTAACTTTATCAAATTTGGAGTGGACTTTAAAAGATTATTATTATTATTATTATTATTTGGATGAACGGGAGACTTTGTAAATGTGATTGTGCTTTAGGGTCTTTATTTCGTCTAAATACGTCTGAGTGGTTGCGGACCATATTTTTGTTCAAGGGATTTTTCTTCTTTAAGGTACATCTGTAATCAGAACTGATTTTCACGATCACCTACATTTGATTTATTATCTGCAACACTTTGGTAACAAACTGAAGAGTAGACATCAGCGTTGAATTTTACACTAGTTAAACAGGTGAAAATTATTCGGGAGGCAGTCATGCGTGAAAACAAAATGCAACCTTCCCCCCCCCCCCCCAAAAAAAAAAAAAAAAAAAAAATATATATATATATATATATATGATTCCCAGCGGAATGAGGAGGTCACTGGTTCGGTCAGTTGTGCCAGCATTTCATTATTTCGGTATTTTACCAAATCTTGCCATTCTTTGTACTCATGTCTATTCAGAATGTGTTGACTAAATAACCATTCGTTTACTTAGGCAGAAAATTAGTATCTTTGTCTAAGAAGCACGTCAACATTTTGGGAACACCACAATAATGACAATGCTTTTTGTTTCATCCTTTCATGGGAAATTATATGATATTCACAAATCGTCGCAACTCGAAATTACGCGAAACTCCTCACATTTCAAATTGCTGATAGGGCAGCATGTGGTTCACGATATCACCGAGAAAGATGATTACGATATATCATTATTGCACATGTAGCAAACCCCGCTCAAAACTGGAATGTACAACCTCTTCCAAGGGTAGCACGACCAAATCTACCCCGCTATCGTGCTCCTCCCTCTTATCTGAAGGACTATTGTACATAAATGTATAATCCAAAGAATTAAGTCAATGACTAATTAACAGACAATTTGTTGTACAGTGATAACAAATGTGATACGTTATCGATAATAAGCCTCATCTATATTTGCTCACCACAAATAGAAACTATTCTAATCTTTCTATTCGGTTGAGATTCCAAATTATTTTTGAGAGCTCATGGATAAAATATGATGTATAGATGTATATGCCCAAATTTTGATTCCACCAACACTATTTGGCTAATAAACAAGAGTAGCAATGTAATATCTACGAACAACGTAAAGGTACAACAGGTTTATCAGTTATAATAATGTCCATGATTCAGAGTCAGTTGCCTATCTCCGGATAGCTGACTGGTATTTAGGTGTAAAGATGTTATATTGAACGGTCACGATTTTTGTTTGTCACATAATAAACAAAAACAAGAAAATTAAGAAAAAGAATTATTTGGTGGGAAGAAAGAAATATTGTACTGCATGGGAATTAGAATATAAGTAGATAATACGTTGTAACCAAAACAAATGGTCTTATGAAATGTTAAACTACTATGTAAAGTTATTGGAACGAAAAGACATTCAATAGAAAGGAATAATTGACCACGTACAAACATTATTTAAAGGGGAAAGTCACTCCTCTTCTGAAAATTATATCATGCTAATATGTTATCTTGAAGTTCACTCCTTGGTTTGACAAATGTTTATTTTTAAAAGGACAAGTCACTCCACATGGCTAAAAAGTTCGAAAGTCACTCCAACAAATACCTTCAATGTTATCCTGAATCCACTGGAGAGCGAGAACTTGATCCATCATGCCATAATTGCCTGTTGCAACATCGTCTCCTGTTAAACACATTAGCGTAACACCAGTTAAAATTAATTTAAAGAAGAGATACGGTTTTGATATCCTTTTAAAGTAGAAACGGAATAACATATAAAGTGAGGTTGACGGTTGTGTTGCATTACATATGAATTAAAATCTAACGATTTTTTTGGTAATGTTTCTACATTTTTTTATAATATATGATATAATATTATAAACCACAAATTAAATGGCACAATGCACATTTTCGTTTTACACATAAGAGCAAATTGGAGAGGATCTTGCAGGATTCCGAACAGAGATGCCAATTCGTGTTTCAAGGATGACAACTTCAAAAATTCAAAACTTTCCTAGTTTTAAGCGAATATCGCCCAACCTTTGACTTTTTGTTTCTCTCATTTTCTGCTATTATTTAAACCAACTTGGTAAACTTTAAACAACTTTAAACAACCTGACATAAATCATCAAAACATGAAATAAGAAAACACACCACAGGGGCCGGCGGATCCAGAATTGTGAGAATGTAGGGGGGCCGTATCCTGAAAAAACTCCACAATACCCTGGAAGTGGGGCAGAATAGATATCTCTAATCTCTTTATCTTAAATTAGGGGCGGCGGGGTGTTTTCCTAGGTGACTCCTTATTTGCACAAAAATTCTACAGCTTCTTATCTCTAATAATTTTTCTTAATTTCATCATTGATGAAATCAATTTAGACGATCATGATGGATATTGTGAACGAATCCATTTATAGCTTTTTGTCAAGAGGCATTTTCTTTTGTATATTGATATCTCAAACTTGATCGGTCGGATATTTGAACTTTACATCATGTCGAGTTTGGACTTTTTATCCAACTACAAACACGATAACTACGAAAGCAGCCGTTTTCTTTTCATCCTTTATTTATAAGTCAACAAACTTTCAGTTTTTTTGTCACTGTATTCCAATGAGAGTAAGGAAAACCAAGAGTTTTTTTTTTTAATCTGCTGTTCTAACTGCATTGTTTATTTTGTCGTTATTTCTATCCATTTGTTTTAACAATGCAAAACAAACTGTATAATTCGATATTCTGTTTTGTCATCTCTACTTATCTTAAAGTTTAACAAAGGACATTGCATTCAGAAATAACGACTGAAATGTATCTGCTTATGTCCATATTTCATTAACAAAGGAAATCGAGCATAGTTGTTTGTCTAGCGTTAGTGAGCGCGTAAGTGTGAGCCTTTCTGGGTAGTTCCAGGGGAAGAGCCCCCGGACACTCTTGATTTTTAGCAATTTAGAACCTTCAAGACCGCTGTCATCTTGAGCGATAGAAACTCTAAACTATATCTTCCGGGTAGGGTCGAGGGGCAGAGCCTCTACCGGGGTCCAGGTGGCGGAGCCGTTGGCGCTCTGAAGTTCTATAGCATTTCAGAGCCCCGTTACATAAACAAAAAATGAGCATTGATCGTAACTTTGCCATTAATGGTAACTCCCATTGGAAACCTTGATTTTATTGGCTGTTGGCGGAGTGATGTTGGTATGGAGATAATATTGACGGCAAAGTAACCATCAGTGGTAAGTTTAATGTAACAAGGCCCGGAACCTTCAAGGTAGCCGCCTAATTGAACGACAGAAACCCTGATATACCTTGACATTTGCATTCCTCCTATTACAACATTAGTTTGAATTAAACCATCCAAGGTAATCATTAATTATCTTTCATTACCAGTGGTGAAGAAACCAAACACTCCTAGTCGATAATTCACGTTGACGACGATGATGTCGGCATAGGCCACGATAGGTATCGGATCATAGATGATCTCAGAGCCTCCTCCAATCGCATAACCTCCTCCGTGTATCCAGACCATGACGGGAACAAAGCTGGAGGGCTGTATTTGTGGAAAGGGTGCAGATACCGATACAGAGAGAGAGAGAGAGGGAGAGAGAGAGAGAGAGAGAGGGAAGAGACGGCTCAGTTGGATGGGCGATGTATGGGGTTTTGGTGGACCACGAACGGGAATAGCATGTGGTGAGAATAAAAAGAAAATATATTAGGAGAAAACAAAATTATTCTGAAAATCAGAGTACAGTGGATAGAAAGAGAAAGAGAGAGAGAGAGAGAGGGAAAAAAAGATGAGGCAGAGACAAAAAAGGAGTGAGAGCCGTGGGGCTAAACTCAAATTTTCAAACACAGAAATGTAGTCTATTATTCTCAATATCTGTTAATGATATGTCCGATAATTTACACTCATGTTCAGCAATGTCGACGACACGTATATTTACGGGTTCTAGGACACCTACCCTGGACAACTGTACAACTACCCTCCGGATGACCACCCTCTAACCACCCGATAAAGGGCACTCATGTACAGCAATGCCAACGACACGTATATTTGCGGGTTCTAGGACACCTATACCCGCTGGACAACCACTCTCCGGATAACCACCCTCTAGGAAAACCACCCTCCAGGACAACTATCCCCCCCCCCCGGAAACTACCACCTAGGATGACCACCCTCTAGGACAACTACCCCCGGAAAACTACCCCCAGTCAACTACCCCCATGACAACCACCCTCTAAGACAACTACCCCTGGATAACTATCCCAGACAACTACCCCGTAGGCCTAGGGCAACCACCTTCTAGGACCTAGAGGGTGGTTATCCGGGGATGGTTGTCCAGGGAGTAGGTGTCTGAATACGATATTTACGTCATCAAAAGACCCAGTAGAAGTTTGTAGCAAATTCAATTCAATTCAATTCAATTCATTTTATTCATTTCCATTTTCAATAAAAACAATACAAAGGTATATACAATTATAAGCATTTGCAATATATAAGAAAATGAAAATAGGGAACGAAAAAATAAGGCCAAATGGCCTTGTGGAGGCATAGTTAAAATGAAGACTCTCAAGATTATCATGCTTGTTAAAAGATACTAAACTAATGGTTAACCCAAACAAATGTATAATAATGCTTATCTGCACTCAGCAGCGTTTGAATAGATTACACGATATTATTGATGATTGTCATATTTATATTGATAATAACGAAATAAAACGGGTCCAGTCATGTAAATATCTAGGTGTTGTCATCGATCAAATATATTGTGAAAAATTCAAGTAGATCACGTAAAGAAAAAAGTAATTAAATTTATAATATTATCTCGAGAAAAGATCGCATCCATACATTAATCAGTATACTCTTATGACTTCTTTTACATCATTTTTCCAATGCCATTTTGATTATTGTAGCGCAGTCTGGGCAAATGCTTTAACGAGAAGTTTGAGTTCTGAGAAGAGGTGAAATTTGTGATCGTTATCACTGTTATTTTGCAAGTGTGGAAGAACATCAGATAAAAATGTTCCCTGAAAAGCATGGCTCTTCAAATGCTTTCATATTCTAAATATGGCATGTAACAACATAAAAATCAGGACGGATTTTTATGTTGCGTGTTCGTGAAGCCCCATATATATCTTTCTGTTTACAGTGCGTGTAACTTTACCAAGACTGGGCCAAAGTTCTTATCATTTTGATGATTCCAGAACCTTGCAGTACACACCTATACTTACATGCTAGATGATCAACCTTTTCTGATCGATTTCACACCGTTTCTTTCACAATGCAATCCCATGACTAGAACTCAACTTTATCTTTAAAGACTCACTTGTAAGTCAATTGTAAGCATTACAAAATAGATCACTTCGTATTGTTATGAATGTTGATTATATGTATCCTTCAAACAATAATGTGATACCTTGAACATAGATCGCTTATATATACGATGGTCCAAACAATTATCAACTCTGTATCGCTCTGTTCATAACATTTGTCCACCGTATAGCAGTATCTTTGTATTTCATGAATCATATATTGTACAATGTCTGGTCCGCATAAATAAAGTCTCATTCAACCGTAGACAATTATGGGAAGAGATCCCTCTCCTATCAAGGGGCCGAGATTTGGAATTAGCTGTATTGCCCTAATTTCACCATTGTATCATTGAAGCCTTAAAAGGTATTATGTCCCATTTGCAGGCCAAAAAATGAAAAAGTTAAATTTCAACGGCATTTGAAAGACAATACTAATTTAGAACTTCCCTAAAAAAATGGGGGCTTGAAAATGTCTTTAAGTGGGAAAATAACGACCTTTAGTTGTCGAATCGACTTAAGTGCTACCAAGTCAGTAAGTAATAGTCTGATTCTGATTTTCAGACTATTGTACCGAATGGCCATACGTAAAGATTTATTCAGTTTAATTTTGGCCATTACAAGAAGTGGTTATTGATGTAGACAAATGCTCAATACCCTTTACAGCTCAATTTATGTATGCTGTTACCAAAGAAGAAAAAAATCCAGTCAGTCACTCAATAGTGTCTGACAGTGACGTATAGCAAGTTAACGGGTTTCCTTGCATAATGTGAATATTAGGACACTGCTAATGTTTAAATTTCACAGATAGGACATACATGAAATATTCATAATTCCTGCAAAGTTCTACAGAATTTGTTGTTGGCTGCAAAAGGGACATGGTATCTTAAAAGGCACTTGTTAATATTGTTCAGGTGATAGAAAATGGTGCTAAGGTAGAGATCACAATGCTTGATGTACAGTTTGAGTGAAAACAGACCATTATTAATAATACAAACTGGGAAAAACTGATTTGATCGATTCCTGAATTCTCCCAACAACATTATTATGATTTAATCAAATTTTAGGTGAATATAAATGAAGCAATGATATTGGCTCTATATATACCATTCCAAACATTTTGAATGTTCAAGATTTTAAAAAAGCCAGTTTTATGTCTAATTGTTATGAAAAAACGGTTGGAAAATCAATAATTCGTTGGAAGAATTTATTTTTAGAGGGTGTCGCACAGTGACGCCTTCAAAGAAAACCATAAATATATCACTTTAAGCGTCACATAAATAATAACTCCATCACCCTGACCATTCTTAATCTTAGCAGACAAATTTAACACCTATATTTAACCTATTAAGCTAAAAATACACCTTGGTTTTTCTTTTCTTCCTATACGTCGTTTATTTTCTACTCCCTTATCCGTGTTTACCCTGTAAGGACATGCTTTTCCTTATTGTAAATCCCCCCATTGATGTTATTGTTGTTGTTGTACATATTGTACTATACTTTTGGTCTGTTTTTATATTGTGTAAATTATAATTTGTGTTGTTCATTTGTCTACTCTTATGTGAATACATGTATTGATTATTCTGATTGTATGTTTTATCTTGGCTTAAACCCCCTTTGAAACAACGGTTTATAGCTGAAAAGGGCAATCCATCCCATGCATGAGTAGAGAATTAATAAATAAGTAAATAATTTAATGACTAAGCACAACTGGAAAACCTAGGCGAACTCAAAGACCAAAACTTTCTATGAAGATTGTAAAAAATCCCTGCATTGACAATTTCAATTTGGAAAAGTTGTGTAGTTAAAAAGGGTATTCAAGGAATCACATGCTACTCAGTGGTGTATCCAGCGCAAAATGAAGCAGGCATAGCCCCTGAAATCCTTTGAAGTAACGAAAGAAAACTCGATATGCTTTATTAATCTCTTTTAAATTGGGTATTCGGCAAGCGGTGCTATCGAGATGCACGACCCCCCCCCCCCCCACCCCCTTCTCTATTTATCCCCTCACAGTCACCACAGGTATATTTTGGTTTAGGTGTAGAGAATAGGTATCGGATAAAGGAATGTAAAATCGAACAATTAAACAATGTCGAAAAACATCACTGTATCGGGTGGCATCACTAGAAAATTATATACCCGAATTCTTTACATCAACTTTTTTTGCAGGGACCCTCGTCTTTTTTCAAATAGAAGGTGATTTATTTGTTTAAATCAAGTAAAAATGATCGACGGAAGGTTCAGACATGTTAGGCGCAAAGAGTTATGATAGAACAATCTCAAAATCATGGGAATGTGTTCGTAGAGTCAGGAAGACGGGAGATGGGTGATAGAGCAAAGAGCTAAAGTATCCTTTATTTCAGTTAAAGAAAATTAAAGATATATGGAATATTCCCTTCGACAAGAGGCAGGGTTACAAATACATTATTAAATATAATTTGTAGCGAATAATAATCGAAGGTTCACTCCCTGCTCTCCTACCTTTGGCGATGGTGTGTAGATGCTAAGATACAGGCAGTCTTCACTAATCGTTCGAGTCGGGATCGGCCCCGGCAGGGTAGGGATCGGCCCCGACAGGGTAGGAATCGGCAGTAGCGGAGGTAGCGTAATTGGTGTCCAGTCATCGAAAGGACTCAGCTGTGGACACTCTGCCTTGTCCTCTGTAGCATTGTAGTCTCCCTGAAGAACCAAGGGTTCAGGGTCGGTGAATCTTCGCTCTCCCACTGGAGGCTCTGCGAAGGGCACCCCAAGGTATGCATCTATGGTTTTATTCAGACCCGTGTAATCGGGATCATCAAAACGTAACGTGATGCCCGTGAGAGTGGCATCTGTGAGCTCTACAGTTGGGTTACCTATCACCTCAACAGCTCTGGTGCAGGAGCCCAACAAACATAAAGTAACAAGTATAATGTAAAAAGAATACATCGCTGATTTACTTGTTTTAAAGCCAATGAAATCTATAGGTCTATCAGACAGTACTGCTTTGAAAATTAAGGTATTTAACGACGTGTGCTTTCTAGGCTTCTGACTTCTTTTCATAGCCTGATTCTATAATCTCTCTAATTTGGCTGTCAAGAGGGTTGCATTATCATCAAAAATTCAGAGTTTGTTATACTTATCTGCAATATGGGAATGTCAAGAAGCTGCTGATAAGATTATAAGCAAGGATCGAGGTAGGCGTCGGAACACGGGGCTTGGGGTCTAAATTCTAAAGTCTCAGCATGATTGTTACCACACAATAGTTCTCATTACAAACACTTGACAATTGGTTTTGAATTGTTTTTCTTTTAAACTGTCATTAACTTAAAAAAGGATTATTTTATATACATTTTGTAATTTCTATCGGTTTTTAAAACATATGCTTAGTTATACTGCTTTTTTAAGTACAGGTTTTCCATTTTATCATACACTCTAGCGTGTTTAGTAAAAGATCTAAAAGCCAATGTTGCACTGTCACGGGACCGTATTATTATCATTCGCTTCAGAAACTAATATGAAACAATCGGGTAAACTACTGAAATGAATGGATGACAAGGGCTATTACAATTTATCTTTTTTTAATCAACGTTTTTTCATGCTATGGTTACATCTCAACGTGCATCCTCTTTGAACGTTCGTGTCTTCAGCTGCAGGCAGGTTGTAGGCCACCTCCAACAATTCCTACGTCCTTCTAAAGATCAAAAGTTGTATCTTCCTTATAAACAAAAACATTGATGTATTTAGTGAAATTAATTAGATTTGTTGTAGTAATAATAATAATAATAATAATAATAATAATAATAATCCGCTTTAAATAGGGCTTATTTCACCTACGATGTCTCTAAGCCCTTTACAGAATACTATTACCCCGGCCATTTGATTCAATGCTTGCCTGCACACACCGTGCTCACAATCTCCACTCCCTGGGGAGCATTCCAGCCAGGCGTAACTTGACGCTCAAAAACTGTTTGACCAACAATGACGGTCGCATCCTACCGGGTACCCATTTAACACCTGGGTGGAGAGTAGCAATTGCAGATTAATACCTTGCCAAAGGATATTAGTATCCTGGTGACAACAAAATCTCAACCAGTTGAGTAGCTTGGGGTCATAGTAATTAGGTACACAGAAGCCTCCAACTGGGAAATGATGTTCACCTTTAAAAATAAAATGGATTTCGATCAAGAGTTGGATGCTGAAAAAGAAGACACTGACTGACTTTTGTTTGTTTTAGAGGCTTATGCAATTCAGAGCATATATTTCGGCTGGAAATGTTCGTTTAGTGTAGAAAACCCACGATGAACAAAAATGCAATGAAATATGGTATACATATACGTTAACACCCACAGAAGACCACAGAGGCCTGGAATTTTCTCCGAAAAGGCCCAAAGGACAGGAGCACAACAAATCTATATTTCTGTTTCAAAATACATATCCGCGGTGCCTAGACGAGTGTATATATATATATATATATATACCCATATCGACTTTATCTCTGACATTAAATTTTGGCATGCCCTTGGACTCTGGCCTTACAAAGATCGACCATAGGGCTATGCTTATTTGCATAAAATTCGTGACTATAAATAATGTACAATCCAGCAATCAACCATGCTTATACCTAGTTTCCATATTATTTCTCGACAAATTTTGGTGAAGCCCACGATTAAACAGCAAATTAGGAATAACAATTATAATAACCAGATAAGGAATAAGGTGCTTTGCAAAAACGTTCATTCGAGAATTTTTTTTTTTTTTCTTCCTTTTCGATACGCTGGTCATGCAATTGCATTGTGAAAGGAACGTTGTGGGATCGATCAGAAAAGCTTGGTCATCTAGCATAATAAATATTGGTGTGTACTGCAAGGTTCTGGAATCATCAAAATGATAAGAAACTTGGTCCAGTCCTGGTAAAGTTACAAGCACTGTACACAGAAAGATGTTTATATATATATATATATATATATATATATGGGACTACCCTATATCTATCCAGTCCGGAAAATGTCTACTACGGATGCCAGAACTAGGAGCGGAGAAACTCAAAGCATAATATTGCACTATTTGATATTCAGCATACAAACCGAAGTTTATAATTATAACCTTCCATAATCTTGACAGCACCATCGTCAAATATTACTGTTCAGTTACATTATTTTTAATATTATACTTCGGCTGCATTGTTTTTCACGTGATCTCTTTCTGTTCCTGTCCAATTTGTCATGTCCGTATTTGTTCCTTGCTTCTTTCTCTCCTCTTGATGCATAAAATTGTCCCGCTTTCCTCTCTTTTTCTAGTTCTCTGATCATACCGAGAGCGCCACCAACGATATTTCATTTATTATAGTTATATAATATAATATTTTTCCTTTTCAAATCTTGTATATGAATTATTCATGGCCAGTTTGGACGATTAGGCCTATGTGTCTTTTATTTATCTAAATGATGTTTAATCGATTTACTCAGACTCCCCTCTCTCTCTCTCTCTCTCTCTCTTTCTGACAACGTAATTTTGCTAAATTCTCCAGGGTCCTATGATGGTTTCATTGCTGACAGTATAAAGTCTTCCTCTGCAATTCGATTTGGATGAGCGGAATCCGGAGCAAAGTTCGTTTAGCAAATATAAAAACCTTTTTCCATTTGACAACATTTATACAACTATTTCTCGTAACAAAGATTCACCAATGTATATTAAATAGATTAAAAACACGTTTTCCTCCAGCTCGTTTATTTAGGCTGAATTGCTCATTGGTATTACCTTATCTACAGGATTTAGTTGAAATTAATTGAATTTATTTTTCTTTTGCAACCTACAAATCAAATTACATTTCAGCGATACATGATATACAAAGCATAACGAATTTGAACATGTACACAATTTAATAATAATAGAAATGCTGACATTAAGCAAAATGTACCTGATAACACACTACCAATTAATATTCATTAAAGCCCCACTGTATTACTTGTAGCTACTTGCTCCCTCCATATAGAAAACAATGCCTAATCGGTGACCATTGGTCCCACATGATCCTCTTTTTCTTATATTGATTGAGACCTGAGTTGATGAGATAGCCAGTCGCGGATCCAGGGGGTCCGCCCCCCCACCCAGGAAAAAAAAAAACGTGATTCTTAGCTTTTTGGGGGGTGCAAATTTTCAAATTTTCGAGGGCCAAAAAAAAAATGTGCTGATGGGGGGAGGTGGATGATACAAAAAACCTGGTGATGGTGATCATGATGTTGTTGATGATGATAATGAACATGAAAAAGAAAATATGTTGATGTCAGTATATCTAACACAGTCAAACTGATATAAGTATATGGGAGTTATAGGATGAACTTCTGGTTTCGGGCAATATGCACCAAACTTTGCTGAACAGAGTTTTATTGTTGCAAAAGAAAGCTCTTCCTATTATTTAAATTCTCACGTATACGGATCCTCTGTTCTTAAAATATTTAAGATCAAAACCTTTATCTCTTCTGTGTATATTTACAGTGTATGTAAATAATCTTTGATGGTATGTTCCCCAAAAGCTCTACGTATAACGTTTGTACTTTCCTGTTCCTCTACGCTCTTGTTTCTTTTGCCTTTCTTTGTATTTTATACGTTTGTGTCCTGCCTTATAATTTCATTCTTCGTTGTAAGTCTCTGTCGGTCTTTACATGTTCATCTCCAATTCATGGTATGCATATGATTTTATCAATTGTCAAATTATGGCTGTATAATTATATCATCATTCCACACTTACAGAATAATCTATTTATTTTCCTTTTATTTTATTTCCATATTTGTATAATCTATATGTATGTTACATTATTTTTTTTATATCTTCATTATTTGAGGGACCTATATTCTTCAATCCTGATTTTCAGTACATCCAGCCATTTTCAGCTTTTCCCTGTAAAAAAACATACGGATATTACAAACAAATTGTAATTTTGTAATTCAATAATTTGCTAAATGCATTGTTTTAATTTACATTGGTTTCGGTGATTGCTTACTTGTCATAATTGAATTGAGAATATAACTGAAACTGAAACAATATGTAAAGAGTAACATTAATTTGATTGCTTTCATATCTTTTGTAATAATCATGCATACATAATGATATCAATAATAGACTATCAAAGCAACAAAAATGTGACTATGTGTGTGTGTGTGCGTGAGTGTGTAAGTGTTCGGTCAGGTAGGTGCGTGTGTGTAGGTGTGCGATGTGTGTGGGAGGATGCTGTCGCCGGGGTCGTGTGTCTGTAGGTCGCGTTTGATGCATACTATACTTGCAGTAACATGTGACATTGTGCGGTAAGACGAGAGAGACAACACAACCGTTTTTGTCCGGGGGGATCGAAAGTGGCGTCAAGGAACATCGCATTGAAGAGCAGACAATGACAACTCAAGAATCCTCACTGTTTAAATGTTGTCTACAACATGATCTACAACGCAGCGTGTAGCTGTAAAACAGCAATATATACCTTCAACTCCTTTGTCAGCCTTGAGTTAACGGAGTGGTTCAGACGCCTAGCCTTTAGTGTTCGGTCACCGGGTAAGAGGTAAGAAAAGAAAAATCCAATCATTCCATTTATCACGCCAAATGGGATATTGCATTCTGTTACTATATGATTTCCATTATATTTAAACATTTTTCTTCATTCAAATTCGCCTTTGTGCATTTCATGTTTGACCTAGGAATCAGTGTTCGCGCAAATGTTACATTAAGTTTAGTCATTTTTCTTTCAAGTTAGTCAATGTTCGATCAATTCTAAAACCTGTCTATTCATTTTCGTCAGATTTCATTCAACACAATGCCATACCTTTCATAAATCTAAGAAAAGTGTTATGTATTGGGGATTCAATTTGTTTTAATTAATCCGAAAGTGGTATTATGATCGCGTTACAAACCTGAGCCCTGTTGCATACAACTTAGCATTGATGGTAACTTTGCCATCAATATCAACTACCATGATGGCAACATTACCCAATAGCCAATCGAATCAAGTTTACTGTGGATCAAATACCATTAATGGCAAAGTTACCCATCAATGGTAAGTTCTATGATAGAATATCGTCTGTTTTTAGAAAAGCATACTAGAAAAGCAAAATAAAACCAGAGCATAAAGGATTTGTGAAGTTGAGATAAATAAGAGGTACACAACGTAAGGAATCGTCTGCACAATATCTCTGAAGTGTGAACTATACGACGAGCTTTACAAGGCCTCATTTATCCCTTCCCGTCCCGACCCGATTAAATTTGACATCGTTGTCTGGCAGGGTTCGGGTGTTTTTTCTGCTGAAACAGACACCAGTTGCCTAGGGATGATTGGATACAAAACCATAATAATATTATTTTCTTAAAGGCAAAAAAAAAGTTAAATTGAATGGAGATATCATGTTGCGCAATGCTTTGTTTCCTTTTCTTTCTCATAGAGAACCCTTTCCCCGTAAAAGGGCCTTAACTTGTCATTTTATTACTCCGCATTATATATATATCAATCAGTTCTCCTTCCCCCCTCCACCCCCCCCCCAATTGTTTAATTGTCCTTTCTTCGTCCTTCGATGTCGTGTCTCAGCAATGATAATTTTTTTCTCTCCTGAATGAACAAGTATGACACAGTTTAATTGACCTTGTTTGACTGTCTAGTAAAACAAATTGATATTTGAAGCTACATTTTTAAACGCGTTTGAAAACGTGTTTTAAATCACACGTTTATACAAACAAACATGATTTAAAACACCCCACAGACATGTGTGTTATAAATTATATATGCATTGTTTTATGTGGTATCATTTTCTTGCTTTAAAATACTTGGTTTGCAATTATGTTGGTATTTACATGAATAAAATCTTGCTTCTTAACATACCGGTGGAGTAAAATCTCCACTTTGCCCTTCTATTCTTAAGTCTTCTGAAAGTTATGAGGGTACTAGCGATCGACATTAGTCCTACATGATACCGTCGGAGCAAGAAGATAAAGTTCCCGAGACCGAAATATTTGTCTCAGTCGCCTTGTGCACAAATCTCCTGGGATTTTACTAAACGAACATTGTTAACTGTTGGTCTGCTGATGTGATCCTGTGTAAAATCTGTAATGTTTCAAACCTTTTAATATGAGCCTTTTTAATTTATTCGCAAGATATGTAGTTTCGAAAACAAACATGAAAGTCTAACCTATTTATCAATACACTGACAGGGTAAGCTTCCACACAGACATTTATTAAACATTATTTTCTTGACCATTTCTGCAATATGAGAATTGTAAATAATTCCAATTTCATTATATTTCATCATTGGTTCAACATCTGATCCAAAAGGGATATTCAAGACATAAGAGGCTCATCGTGAGTGTCTACCCAGGGGCGTATCTATGGGGATGGCAAACGGGGCACGTGCATGGCGCCCAGCACTTGAAGTTTTGCAAAGAAAATTAAGAAGACAAACAAAAAAAGTAAGATAAAAGGGAAGAAAGGAAAAAGAATAATCCTTCATGAGCGAATTGTGGTGTTAGTAAAATAAATGTAATCAACCCGCAAAATGATGTTCAAAATTAGAAACTCTACTATTTTATTACAGGTGGCGAGAGTGAATTTTATTTGTAACAGTAACATTTTCGCCATAATGAACGTGGTTTCTATTCATTTGCTCGCTCGCTCGTGAAATTTATTAACAGGGTGGTTGATATTTAGCCACCAGGCCTCTAACCCCATTTTTTGCTCGCACGCTTCGCTCACTAGTGATTTTTTTAACATGATGGTTGATATTTACTGCCCAGGCCTCAGCTGCTTATGAAAATATGCCCATGATATCAGCCCTCCAATGGGGAATCTTATAAATGCAAAAGAAATTGCATTCTGTTATGAACAAATATGATGGAAATATACCATTATTTTATTGTTTGCGCCGGGTGACGTAATGCCTAGATACGTCACAGTCACGACTGTTGTTACGTAACTGTAAACGACTTTGAGAGAATTACCGTTGTGAAAGCGCTTTTTCATCTCCTTATCGTTTTGACAAGAGACTTAATAGCTTTGGAAGAAACAATAGCATGCGTGTAGAACGAGGACGGTACCTTCTGATCGAAATGAAAATGATTTGTAAGGTTTCTCGTACTTTTTATGTCAGTTTGGAAGGCTATGTATTAAAAATATTCTCTGAAAAAGGATCGCTCTTCAAAATGCCATCGTATTCGAAACATAACGATAATAGCTGAAAAGTTTGAACCAAACTTACATTCTGCGTGAGTATGTAGTCTCATTTACCCATTCCTATGGATGTTGTACTTGATTTCACACAGACTGAGTCAATTTTTTTTAAATTATTTTGATCATTACAAACTTCATAATATACATCGACTGTTATGTAATTAACCTTTCACAATGAAATCACTAGACCATTATTCCACTTTCTTTGTATCTTTTATGAACAAGTGTGGCCATTTTCCGTCTGACTTATCTTCCTTTATTAGCATTGTAACAACCCAAGTACTGGGTTCTCACTAACAAGCATTTATTGCTTTCTTAGCTGTCAGGTAAAACTAACCACCACTATCAAGTACTCATCAATACTACTTAACATTCTTTTAAAATAGTTGTCTTTGATGGTTATCGTAAATAAACCAAATTTTTCATATATTTCTCAATTCAGGCAGTGGTTTGTTCGATTACCCTCTGCTTTACTATGTGTTTCCCATTTTCCACATTGTGGCTTGATTTTAAAGTGGCAATTTTATTTTTATTTTATGCACTTGTCCAAAATGGATGACTAAAAGCATATATATCGACTTTACTGACAAATTCAGGGTTTTTCAAAATCAACACTTGGACACAGCATCTTCTCAGTCATTAATTTCATTGTTCTTGTTACGGGTCCAAAAATTTCAGTAACAGCACTTGTATTCTTGGGCCAGACATTAAAGGAGCTACACAAAGAAAATTCACTAATAACTCATAATTAGAACAAATTACATATGGATGGAAAGATTTTCTCTTGAAAAACACGAACAATTTGCTGAGAAATCATATGATATCATGGAAAGGCGTAAAATGCAATTTTTCAAGACCCTACTTAGACCCCTGAACGTAAGTCAAACACACAAACGTAGCGAGCTCTGAATAGTGACGTCACACACTGGACAAACAGCTCGGTACCGTGTAGCAGTATGCAGCTAGCCAGCCGTGTCCCGTATGTGACGTCATGAATATTGACGCTCTACAAAGGACCGCTGAAGGCAGAAAATCTGGATCTCAAAACTAACATTTTTGAGAGTTGATTACTGCGGGCCCCAGACATATTGTGAAGAGAAGAGTTGTCGTATTTTATCGGCAAGGCTTCCCCTTCGCAATTATATGAGTTTTGCATCAATTCAAAACACTTTTGATTCTTCGTGTGGCTACTTTAAAGAAATGTTGAATATTGTGAGGCTGCCGCGTGATCAGTAAACGCATGTAAACAGCCTGAAGTGGATACCAAATAAAAGTCCATATCCCTTGATATCGACAGTTTGTGGTTTTCAATTCATGTTGGATTTATAACAATGACAGGAGTAAGGGAATTCTCTTTCCTTCAGCATTAAAACAATTATTCATATCTGCCTATCACAATGTATCATTATCTCAGTTTCTCTCTCTCCACAAAGTCTACATCGAGTGAAATGTTCAGTTTTAATTTAATCATGCATTCCGTGCATCGTGTGAGATTACAAATGAATAATTCTGACTAAAATCATCCAATTTGTGTAGGCAGAATCTGTTGCAATCAGCCTTCATTTAGAGGGATTTGTGTGTACTCCCAAGCTGCCAAGATTTCAGATGAAACACACCAGTGCTTTTAAAAGGTGAACTTGATAGCCATGACATCGATCTGTGACTTTCATTTTCCAATAGATTTAACAAATTCTATGCACAATGCTATATGCTTTGAGATTCCTTGCCTCTTAGCTGATGCATCTCAGTTAAACTCATTAAGGAGAGCGATTCCCCTAGGCAGATGAGCTCTCGGAGATATTTTGATGATGAATCGGAGAAATACACTAGAGACTGAAAGGACTCTTCACCATTAACACGTGAAAAGCAAACGTGTGTCAGAGAAAGAGCCACTTCAAAGAGCTTGTTGTTGTTGACTGATAGAATAGCATTTTCAAATAAAACGGGGATTTTTATAACTGTCTAGTCCATTTCCATGAACAAAGCGACTTTGGTTTTCATGAAACTAAGGAACATGAAATGCAACCTGCTTTTACTGTTATCATAACAAGTAAGTTTTATTCGCAGGATTCTTCTAAAAGTACTTTTGAAAACACGTATTTCATTTGAAATTAAAAATTATTATGTGATAAAAATCTAGCTCGCTCGTTAAATGAATAGGGGCAAAGAAAAGAGGTTGACTAGGAGTTGGAGTCAACTTTAATCGTGTTCAAAAGATAATTTGTCTCGTTAAATGTTATTATCTTTGTATCTTGGACGAATTAATGAACGTCGCCTCATGTAAATTGAATTTAATCAATATCTGATTTTATTTTTTATTTTGCTGTAGGTCACTCTCACCATTAGTTTTTCGTTCTCACCTCTACATAATTATACAGCGTAAGAAAAAACACCTAATTATGTAGTTTAGATCTCTGTATGACTAAAAAGCATTTTCACGCACAGTCCCGACAAACTCAGGTATGCATCTCCCGAAATGGCGTATATAGCCTTGAGTCAGCCACTGAGAGAGGAAAATGGATGCATGGTGGGGTTGGGGTGGTCATTACTCTTACAAGGTGATGGAAGGCGAGAGATGAAAGAAGGGTTTGAGAGGGCATCGAATCTTCTTCTTCCACAGTACCTCCCTCAATTGGGTCAGGGGCACGGATCCCCCCCCCCCCCACTGTATCTACGCCACCATCCTCCCACATAAACCCACCCACGCACGTCAAACGTTGCAGGCACGCATGTCAAGGCAGGTGACATGGAAATTCATATGA